CTGTGGGAAAGAGGATCACCCAAACTGAAAATTGTTGATAGTAGTCTAGTGGATTTTAAGAGTTTAAGAAATTTAAGCTGGTACTTGTTGGAATGTTTGGATACTGTGCTGTAGTTTAGTGAAGAGAGTAGAGGACAGGGCTTTGCAAGCTGGTTACACGTATCAATATGTAAGTGCATGAGTCAGCTGTTGATGATTTCTGCTTTAATCTTATACATGATGATGGTCATCTTTTTAAAAACAAACATTACTTCAGAGTGGTGGAGCACCGAGTAGTCTGAAACCTTCAGGAGTTTTTGTGGCAACTAGTTCAGTCTTAGAGTGCTTTAGAAATGTGGGCCATGATGGAGTTTGCTTGGAACTAGGATAACTTTGGGGGAAAGGGAGCATGGGATTCAGGCAGGTGTGATCCTTGCACCTTCTCTCAGTATCTGGAAATGTTCGAACCTTGGTTTTGAATGAACAGGGAAAGTGTGAGTTTTTTTGTTTACTTGCCAAGTTGGAAGCTGTCAGTACCACTCGTAGTGCTGCATCTGTCAACTTTTTTTTAGAATGTTTGTACTATTGTTTCTAAAATGTTAGTATAAACATGTTATTTGTAGGCATCTGGGTTTGTTTATTGATGAACTTGTGATTGATTGATCAGATTGAATCTAGCAGGTACTGACTAATCTGCAGAGAAGTGATGGAAGAGTCAATAAAAGCATGAGTTCCTTAAGTTTGGGTTGAGTCCTTGTCAGTTTGTGTTGCTGGGGTTTTTTCATAGCTGTGTTCGACAGGGATTAATATTCATCAGTACCTGTCACTGTATTCCCTGCTCCTGTCAACTTTCCCTCTGCACATCTCTTGTGTGCTGTCTTAGAGCCTCTTTTCAGTGTTCAATTAATCTTTAGGGTCACGACATCTCCTGATGCTTTGATCAGCACTTACACATACAGCAGTTCATTTCAGCAGTGACAAATCTCTTGCTCACCAGTCAAGGGCAGAGTAAAAAGACAAAAAAAACCCCTGTTAAAACATGCTTCCAAAACTGTCTTACCAATGAGTTGTTCAAATCAAGTAATGCTCCCCTCTGCCCCAACGCCCCAAAAACCAAGCCTGCAAACAAAACCCAAACAGATACCCCCTACTCCCACCTTTCCCTTGCCAGGGTAACCAGGGTAGGTGTATTTCTCAAAATGGGATTGTAGGACATGAGGCAAAACAAAGACAAAGTATAATGGTCCTGGGGTGATTACTGAAATGATAGGTGTGGGGCTTTGAGCGCCTTGGTTGCTCTGTGTTGAGTATGGGCTTGAAAGTTTTTCTCATTAGCTTTTATGTGTTTTCTAACAACAATGAAACAATCCAAGCAGTAGATTTCTGAAAGAAGATTGTTGTTCATGGCTAGTTAAAGTCATTATTCATCAGTAGCATGACTTAACACTGATCAGACTGGTTTATATCTAGAATGTGCTTTGTGTTATGTTATAGTGATCATTATTTATTTCATGTTGGCTGTCTGGTTATAATACACGATCTCTGTAAAATCCCTGTAGTGTTGTCAGTTTTTAGAGATCTGGGTAAGGAAGACCTAATTGATGCCTTATTTCTTCTTGCATCCTTCCTACTGATACTTTTTGTTGCTTGCAATGCGTGTTGTTCTGTGCTATTCTCTGCCCTTTAAAGAAATGATGCATAGTAAGAGCTGATTTATTCTGTGTCAGGAATTGTAAACTCTGAAGAATCTGTTCAGTTGCACAGTTGTTCAAAGTGACCACCACTTGGAAGTTCATCTTTTTATGATCAAGTCAATTCTGTAAAATATGGAAATTTTTTGAATTAATATGAGTTGCCTTTCTTGTTATCATTACTGTCTTTGGGCTGCAGTGCCACCTAGGTTTCAAAAGCTTCTTGCACAGACTTTGTTGCGGAGAAACTGATGTAATACATAAACTTTGAGGGCTGTGCTGTGATAGTTGCTGAAGTTCATCTGAGCCACAGAGCATATCCAAAAGGGAGGTCCAGAGTCAGAGTAGCTCCGAGGTACTACTTCATAAGTGGCTCCTCTGCTCACATGACTGCAAAAGTTACTATTGCAAGCCTTCTCTGTTTCTTGGGGAAGATGGAGAGCTGACACACACCCACAGAATTTATGTTGAAATTCACCCAAATCTCCCCTGCAAGTCCATTTCTCCAGTGGAATTTTTCCAGGGCTTGCACCCCCATGTTGGGTTCTGACCCAAAGGGTGACAGAAGCCCTCAGCAGAGCAGATGCAGCTGTGCTCTCACAGCCTGGCTTCATTCCAGGCTGTTATCTAGAGCTTTAGTGGGACTCATATGAATCCAGTCTTTGTTTTTTCCCACTGAAATAAGGAAGAGCTGAGAGTATGGCCATAACCTCTTTAAACTACTAGGCCCCATTTAATGAACAGGAGGCCATATGTTTGCTAACTGATGTTCCTGAGTCTTCCTGGAGTATGCATTTGAGTACAGTAAATTAGTGAAATCTGCTTAGACAGGTCCACTTCATTTGGAGCCCATGTTTTAACTAAGGAGTTGAAAGAGCTGAGCAATCTCCTTCAAGAAGTTACCATCCCACTCACTGTATCATCTGTATCCTTCTGTTTATGGCATTACACTTGAAGTGTTCTGATAGAATAGCTTACTACAGCAAATACTGAAAGGTGAAAATAGTGAAATATATTTTATTTTCCTGAGGGGAGGGCAGGGGGAAGCCCAAACACCTTGGTATTGCCACAATGCATTTAGTAAAATTAGACCAAAACATTCTGCCCTAAATTTTTAGGGAGAAAAATGTAAAATTGAGGGTAGAGGACAGTGTTTAGGTGCTTGATACACTTTTGAGAATGAAGGAATGTTGAAACTTGCCTTTAGCCTCCAAACTTAAGAAAACCTAAACTAACAACAAACCCCAACCCTCTTTTTTTTTTTTTTTGCAACTGCAAATATTTGCAAAAAAGCCATTAAAGTGAAAAATTTGTTATTGGAAGAGCAGTATATACTTGAAGTACTCCATAGCAGCTTTTTACATGTCTCCCTTTTACCAAGAGTGGGGAGCACAACTTTAAAGCTATCTCTAATATGAGGGTAGGTAAGTAAATACCACCTCAAGGAAAACATGTGCTTGATTTCAGAGGGTCAGAGTGTTTGACATATACACACAGTATGCTGCATACATTTTAACTGCTTTTGATGTCCTGTGATTTTTTTGTGGCCACTACTTCAGGAGAAAAACTGAAAGTAAGTGGAAGGAAATAAAGTATCATAGAATTCATAGAATTTAAGGGTTGGAATGGACCTTACAGATCATCTAGTCACACCCCTCCCCTGCCATGGGCAGGGTCACCTCCTCACTAGATCAGGCTGCTCAAGGTCTCATCCAGCTTGGCCTTGATCACTGCCAGGGTTTGGGCAGCCACCACTGCCCTGGGCAACCTGTTCCAATGTCTCAAGTAAAATCAGACAAGCTCATATTTTTTAATGTAATAAGGATTCAATGAATGCTTTTAAATTTTTGAGTTTGTGGTTTGTTTTCTTTAGCTGAATGTGCTGCATAGTCCTCACCTTTGTGATTTGAGAGGTAATTAGAGGATTTGTAATGTCCCACTGGTTTGATCACAACTGCTCATGACATTTTATAATGAGTATATAGCTTATAAATAGCATTTTGAAGGTATAAGGTTATACAGAGATAATTACACAGCTGAAATGCATTGGCACAAGGCCAGAGGCTAAGCACTTTCCACCATCCCTCCTAAATTGAATAACTTCACTTTATGAAGTGTATCATCAGAAATTATTTTCATTACTCCCAGAGGGCAAATTAAGGTTAATAAAAATCCAATTCCAGATTACCCATATATGTGAATATTTGTATTTTTAGAACCTTTGTCAATTACATTCTTCACTGACTGTGTAAATGCGAATACAAGTGAGTAGTTCATAGCTTTGGCTCACGTTTGTACAGTTTGAACTGTTTTACCTCTCTGAGACAGTCTTCCTCTAAACTTGATTGTGAGACTCTGCAGGATTTTTTAAAACTAAGTTCCCTCTTTCCACTAAGCTGTGATGTATCCCACCATCCTGGGTTTCACTTGACCCATGTCACAGCCATTTGACCCAATTGCTTTACTCCTCCAAGCCAGTAGTGTATATTCTCTTTTTTAAATGTTATATTAAATAGTGTATTCTTCATACAAGGCAACCCAGTGTTTTGTGGATTCTTCAGCAGCCTGAAGAACCTTTTAGTAGAGGTGAATTGTGAGAATGTTTTTGCATTTCCCTGTGATAAATTACTTACCTATATAATGTGAAATAGCACACACGTATTGGAGTCACCTCTTTTCATACTCTGCTTTTACAACATTAGATTATCATCTTGTTACAAGTGTTCTCTTTTCTTTTCACTCTGCTGCTGTGTGCCCTGCTCCTCTTCCCACTTCCCAAAAAAGAGATGGTGGTCTCACTTGATAAGACAGCTGTTTCTGCCTCTTAGCATAAGAAAGAACATTGTGTATAAAGAACAATATAAGAAATGGCTGAGGATTATTTACCCAAGATAATGTTTCAGCCTCTAAGACTGTGTGGTTCAGGGACTTTTTTTTTCAGAGATGGTGTCTTTATCACTTGGTGGATTTTTATTTGTTCAATGAATTTGAGTTTTTAAAAATCTATGTACTCTCATAGCGCAAAGAATAGCTTTGGGCAGAGTTATCCTATTGCTAACATTTTGGTATATTTTTTGAAAGAAAGTGCTTTTGTTGATCTTAACATTAAATGAAAAACCTTTGTTGCCAATTAGTTAATATTCTCAGTCTATTAGAGTGCCAATACTGAAGAACAAATCATTAGAAAAACCAAAGATAAATAATTGGGAATGCTTGGAGGAAAAATATATAAAGTTGCCGTTTATAAGTCTGTGCAACCTCTTATGCAGTTGTTGAGTTTTTTAATTTATTTGTTGGATGAAACAGTGTCTAAACAACTTTTCTCTACAGGTTATTAACATGCCAGAGCACAATCATGGAGATATGGGTGGAACAATGAGACTGGGAAAGAGGAGGACTGTTTTCAAAACAGAAAATTCTGTTTTAAGTAAGTTTTTTTTCTTCTCTTACGACTTGCCTTTTGGATAGGAGCTCTATAACATGGAAAAGTAAAAATGTCAGAGCACATTTTTTTAAAGGACTATAACCTCAAGCAAGCAGTTGGGTGACAGCACATTCACTCTGGTCCTTGTTGCCATATACACTTACAGAGGATTGGAATGTTAAGAAAGAAATGAGACACACCTGGGTCCAGTGCTTTAAATAAATCATGAGGAGAATGTTGAGGTGACTGAAATGCATTTCATAATACATTGATTTACTATATTCTTGGGAAGATCAGAGTGCTTTCTTCCTCTTTTCTTTCTGAGCTGATAGGGTGTGCAAACCAGAGCTTCTTATCCTACCTCTGATGATTTTTGGTTGAGCTAACCCGAACTCCTACTCCTTATGCTCTTGCCAGACCTAAACAGTGCTTGTCATTCCCTAGAGCTGCCAGTGCAGCTCAGCCTTGAATGTCATTTGGCCTTGCTGCCTTAGTCCTCATCTTTCTTCCTCTTTTCTTTCTGAGCTGATAGGGTGTGCAAACCAGAGCTTCTTATCCTACCTCTGATGATTTTTGGTTGAGCTAACCCGAACTCCTACTCCTTATGCTCTTGCCAGACCTAAACAGTGCTTGTCATTCCCTAGAGCTGCCAGTGCAGCTCAGCCTTGAATGTCATTTGGCCTTGCTGCCTTAGTCCTCATCTTGTCAATTTTAGCT